TTCTTTAGTATTGATCATAGCGATTGATAAGTGCGATCATTCTTGTACATTGTTCCTCTAATTTGGATTTCTATAGCATTTGTTATTTTTTTACTCATAGCAATCTACAAGACCTTGATAGCTTTTGACATGTGTTATTGCATGTAACTTAGCATTCAAATTTAATTAGTTTACGATTCCCTGGATTTTAATATTTGTTACGTTTTTTGTAGAAAAGAAAAATACAATATTGTATTATTGATAGAAAATCAGGTTATTGATACAAAAACTATTACAAAAATAAAAGTACATATTTAAAAGATATGTTGACAAAACAATTCATTCATTTAAATTCGAGAATTAGCCACACTCTTGGACCTCCAATCTCTGAAAATTTCCTTGAAAATGATATAACTCTTGGACCTCTAATCTCTGAAACCAAACTCTAACCCCTCTTCTAAAAGATATACAGAATGGCCCTTTTTTGGTTCTAGCTAACTCTAGGCCCTTAGTTGAACCTAGACAATAGTAAAATTAAAATACAACAAAAACGTAATGTATTTTTTTCCAAAGAAACTTTTTTACCTCATAAGTGAATTTACGGCATCCGACATTGTACCATTATCATGCTACAAAGGCAAGTAGATGAATTAATAACAATAAAGCAATGCATAATACATTTGAACAAGAAACAATGCAAGTTTAAACAGAAATACCCTATTAAGAAGAGGTACTTTGTGTCTTGTCATGTTTTATATTCTCCACACAAATTTCTCCCTGAATGAAGCCACCTTCGGAGATGAAATAAAACATAAATCCAGCTTGTTACGTTTTTCAGACAGAAATGTAATAAATTAAGAGAATATAAGTAAGCTAGAAAACATAAATCCAGCTTGTTTCTTCGCCTGATTCTCCGTTCTTCTATGAGGTCAGACAGAAAGGGATAGGAAAGGTTGAGAATTATGCCACGTCAACGAGTTGTGCTCTATCAGATACTAACAAAAACATAGAGACTGAGGAATCGGAGAGCTAAAAAAACATAGTCAAGGAAGAATCTAATTGTGTGTGATGGTGCCACGTCATCAATCCTAGTGATCTCTTTCCATTGGCTCTTGTTCTATGAAGACTTATTTGAATTATTATACCCTTTTTAAATAGGTTTTAAAATGTTTTAATAATTATTTGACTAAAAATGTTTTATAGTAATGAATTTATAATAAACGAATAATTTTGGTACAAATTTATAGTTTTGAACCATATAAAAATATTAAGAAACTAACATCATATAGCTAAAGTTGTGTGATACATAATATGGATGAAATACTAAGTAAGTTATCATTGTTTGTTTGTATGTTTGCCAAAAATAATATATTTTGCAACTTTTATTTCGCTTCTAAGCTCTCAAGATACAAGGAGTCACCTTATTTGACTGATTAAGTCATTGATTCTCCAACATCAATGTTTTTTTTTTAACTTTTGCGGTTTTTTTGTTGTTTTAGAATTTAGAGGTGTGGTTTTTCGAGATTATATTAGCTTAGTCCATTTTTCATTGTAAAACACCATTATCATAGGTTTTAATAAAGTAATTTCATTTTTCTTCCAAGCGAGTTCTTGAGAAATTTTCTTGTTCTTTAAGAACTAAATGTAAAATTTATTCTTTTTGTTAAAGCTACGGATTAAGTTCTTGTGAAATACAAACATCATTTTCGTTCATATATTGAGAGAGTCAATGAGTTTGAACGTCGAGTCTTTTGAACATAGAGCGATCTAAAGTTCGAGTGTTTTCAATCTTATAACTAGCCAAAAATTGAGATCCCATGTCAAAAGACTTCTTGATCCCGGACTCTTTGGTCAAATCTTAGTATGAATAAGTAAATCCAAATGCATGCATAAAGGCCAATTAATTTTTTATTATTCTTTGTAAATCTTGCACCAATTCATGGGTCAATTATTTTAGTTGCAAGTCATAGTTAACAAAACATAAATCATTCTCCTAAAAGTTAATCCTCCCATCAAAAGTCTGACCAAACCCCCAATTCGATGGTGTCACATTCATGAAATATTTTACAATCCCATCGCTTGTCATAATCTTGAACGATAAACCTTGTCCGGTTAACACAACACCGGTGGTCCAGTTTTGTCCCCAATTCTTCTTCATTGTTATCCACCCTGTCTTGCTTCCTTTAACTTGCATGGCGTTAATATCTCCAGCTCCTCCTACATTGTACGGCAAAATCATAAAAAAATGAGGATTTCCTTTGAGTTCAAACTTGACACCCCCGGTTTTCGCACAACGAACACGTCTATACTTAACCGGGACAACCCCGGCTTTGTACTTGGCGATCTTGAGGAACATTGGAAGGGAGAGATCAAAGTGTTTTTGTGGTGGGTTGCACCAAACGCCTAAGGTCTTAGTGTAATTTGGTGGACAGAAATTTGTAGCTGTGATCTTGATGGATCCGGGTAAACACCATTGCGGATCATGCGCGCACACGATCTGGTAACAGGCTCCGCACGTGTACCCGTTGTTGAACAATGCCGTGCTCAATGCGGCGGTCGCTAGACCATAGCCTTGTTTGTTTAGATCACCATATCCACATGCTCCCTCTGTTGATTATATAATGAAAAAAGTGGATAAGTATTATTAGAGATTATGGCATTGATTTGATTGTATGTTTACGTTTGTGTAATTGTGTTTGTTTTGAATTTACATATTGTAATATAATCATTTTGAATTCCCAACGAATTTATATTTTGTTTTATTTAAACAATCACTTTGGTCAATTTTAAACTATGGGAGTATTTTAATGCAATCGCAAATGCAGAAATTAGCCTTCAAAGCAATCGAAAGCTACACAATATTATATAAATAATTTTTTTTTTCTTCTATAACGTGGCCATGAGAATTATAATATTTGAACTTACGTTGAGTTTCTGCTCCAGTGATGTCACCGTAAAATGTGGCTCGAGCGTCATACCAACCAGGGTTGTTGATTCGACCACTAGGTGAGTCGGCTTCTTCATCACCGTGACTCATGGGCACGAACCATATCGCCATTACCACCATCAAAACTTTTGTATATATCATCTTTTCTAAGATTTTAATGATTTTTTATTTTTACTCGTTTTAATGATATGGTCTTACTTGATTTTAAGTGATGATTAATCTGATGGGAATGTGGGTAAATATATAAAGGCAGAGAAATAGAACTGATTATGGTTATTATGGAAATATGATTTAAAATATGTTCAATGGTTATAGTAATTGTATTTAAGATTTTGTAGTTAACATGCATCATGGTATGTGATAACATCATTGCCATCTATGGATTTTGAATATAATGGTACGATGTTGTCATTTTGATAGCTTCTAAATTACATACACCTAGATGTTTGTAGTTTGTTCCGCATACTTTTAAGCATTAAATTCAATAATAAATAGAAATTAAAAATCTATCATTTCATGCGTGCATATTGTTAACGTAGTTTACACCAAATTTTCTTAATAGTAAATGAGTACGTAACATATTCGTCCCGGATGCGGCAAATGTATCCCGTATTGCGATTGAGTTCACCCTGGATGCGCTTGACTTTACATTAAACATTTATTTGAACTCATTTATTTTTAACTAATTAGTAATATAAATTTTTTACCCTGATTTCGATTTTAATAAAGGGTTTTTGAATTAGTATTTCATTGTAGAACAGGCGGTGAACCCCAAAAAAAATTGATCCAAAAAGTGGAAGACTTTTTCGATAAAAACGACCAATTCACCCAATTACTTACTCGTCGAGCCTTAAAACGAATAAAGAAAGCGCTAAAATCGCTGGATAATTAACCTTCCGCTTCATATTTCCATTTGATCTATGTCTTTTTGTAATTAGAGGATTTCGAAAATTTGAGTGTGCGTCCATCTGTTGGCGTCAACGTAGAAAACCAACTTACTACACCAGTGTCGAAGTGTCAAAATTGAACCGACCTAAATTTGGGATGATGGAAGTACAAGCAACCAAGGTCTTGACTCTTGACCGGATCCTGCTGCGGTTTCTATTAGAATGTTAA